AATTTTTAGCACCATATTCCATTTGTAATAACTTTTTCAAAATTATGTTTGTTTTAATGAGGTTTTTGGTATTCGAAAGCCCATGTATATCTCATTAGATTTTTTTTTTTTTTAAGGACTGCATTTCTCAAGTAGGTAATATACTGGGTGAATAATAAACTAATGCAAAAGAACAAAGTTGGATGTCTGTCATATTTCTTTTCTCGGATTCGAACAGCATTGCAGGTTTCGAAAGATTATTTTTTTAAAGGTTCCGGGACACTTTTACAGTGGGGGAAAACGTTTCACAATCCATTAAAACGTAAGCCACATCGTTTCAAAATGGTGGTGCTAAAATGGATCTTCAGGAGGTTTTGCAAAAACGATCCGTCCAAATCGTCTCCGAGATATTGGCCCAAAGTATCGCCTAACCAATTTTGAAAGCAAACAAAAGGCATATAAACCAATTTGAATAGATTTTTAAAAAGAACAATTATCATAATTTGCCTAATTTGAGGTGTATGATTTTCTTGACCCCTGGTATAATGTGAACAGGGCCAGCTGCAAAAAAAGCGAGCGAGTCGTGGAACCTCTAAAAAAAAAGCTTTCGAAACCTGCAAATATGTTCGAAATCGATGCAACCGTTTTCAAGCTACAGCCTTTTAAACATTGTGCTTACAAGATTTTGCCAACTTTGTCATTTAGTAGTGTATCTGCTGCCAAAGGGCACTTATCAAAAAACTGGCCAATACGTCCGGACATCCAATCAAGTATACGGAAATCCGAAAAAAAAAAATTGCCAATATGGCATCAGACATCCAAACTTTTTGTACTTTGCATCAGTCTATTATTCACCCTGTATATAACTTGAAAACTGCATTTCTTCGAAAAAAAAAATATTTTTCTCTCCTGAAATTCAACATGGACTTTCGAATACCAAAAACCTCATTAAAAAAAAAAATAATTTTAGAAAAGTAATCACAAATTGAATAGGTGTTAAAAATTTCCTGACCGGTTTTTTTTTGGCCAGCAGTTTAATTCTTGCATTTGAGCCCGGTTGTTGGGTAAAGCCTGTAGTGTATAGTATAAATAAATAATAATAATTATTAATAATTATCGTAATATTCATCGAAAATGCGTTCCATGGTGTAATAATGCATATTGGACATTCACACATTGGACACCCTTTATCTCAAAAACTAGTCATAGGATTGAGTTGAGCCCATGGTAGTTATTGATCAGAATGGTCAGATCTATAACATACTAAAATTTGGTGAAATTTGACCGCGGTCAGAAATCCCATAAGAAGTGTGCGGGGTCCTTTACCAGTTTTATTTACTTATATTTTTATCCTGGCAGAGATGATATCTCTACAGTGTTGTCACGTTGTTAACATTTTTCTAAATTTAAATTCTTTGATAACTCCGAAAATACTAACAATTGACCCATGGTTGATAGGACAGTTTTAGCTTGAAATGGGCCATATTATTCCATATTAAAATATTTATACTCATACCTGATACACCCTGTATAAAAAATGTGATTGCCTGTATAAGACTAAGGGTGGGACACCCATTTTTTTTCCCCAAAGAGACATGGAAAAACAAACTTTTTATACACCATACAAATTTGTAATTTCATAAGCTTCTCAAAAAATAGGTGTGCCATTTGAAAAAAAAAGTCAAGAGTTGTAAATAGGGGATAATTTTTTCAAGGGATGATTTTTTAATATTTTTGAAGAGACCTTAATTAGCCATTATTAATTTTTTTTGTTTCAAATTTTTATTTTTGAAAATAAGAAAGTTATGGCCTGTAACGTTGATTGTGGGACACCCTGTATATGTTTCTCAAAGGACTCTCTCACTAAAAAATAGGTATACATATTTGTCCATAAAATGCTCCATTTTATATAATTAGGGTACATTCGTAAACTTATGAGGAATAAAGAGTTATTCTCTCGCGTTATTATAATCTAAAAAATTAATTACTACAAGCAAGTAGCTACTCTACTATAAAAGTGTTCTTAAAAAGTTTTTGATGTGTTTTTATATTTACGTTTAATGTTCTGAAATGGAGCGTTTATATGGTATATTAAAAGTGTTTTTGACTTCTGAATAAAAAGCCGATTCTCTACGGAAAAGAATATATAAATTTTCTTCTTTAGTACTTATTGTAAATTGAAGTTGAGTTCGGAAACTTTTATTTCAAAAAAAATTGGTTCAGGCTTAGTGACAGTCGAGTAAAAGTTATATTTTTGCCATTCTCCATAACCCTTTCTTACTTATCATGAACCATTATACTGGGTGTTAATAAATAGTGGGATCAAAATTCTAGGATAAATTAATAATACTCATTAAAATAAGAAAAAAGTTAATAGAAACATGGGTCCGAGAATGCTTAGTTTTTGAGATACAGGGTGTCAAAGACCAAAGTTTGAAAAAAAATCGTTTTTTTAGCTGAAAAATCCCCATTTTTTTTTTCTCAAATTTGGTAGGTTTGAACAAAAGGTATTTTTCGAGTGTATTATGAATTACCTAATCTGAAAAAAATATCAAAGTTATAAAAAAATAGTGACGTGCCATTTTTTTTTCGCCGTGTCTAGAATCCCGGTACCGGTAACACTTTTTTTACCGGTAGTTTTGATGCCGTCACCTATATGATGAACTAGGTACCCGGGATTTAAGCAAATCCCGGTAAAAAAATGTAGTCGTTGGCGGTTTTTGTTTTATCAAAGTCCAACTTAACCTAACTTTTTATGTTTTTAACTTGTTTTGTTGATGTGTGAACGTAAAGTTGAGTGTTTTCGTGAGTTTATCAACGTGAAATTACTTTTGAAATGGTTTTTAATGTAGGACAAACATTTAAAAGTTATAAAGAACTTGAAGAGACTTTGACACGTGAAATGTGCCAGTTTGTGTGAAATACCCAAAATGTGGTACTTACCTATTGTTCTGATTGTAAACTTATAAATAAAAAATGAGAGATATTCATTTTAATTTACATCCTAAACAGTATAGTTACATATCGGGTCTTCAAAAAAAAAAACAATCAAAGATTGCTATGGTTTTTTAAACGTACGTCTTAGCAATATTTTTCTTTAATTTTGACAAGGTCAGTCAATGAAATTTAATGTCAAAGTGGCATGTCAAAAATCCTGACCAATAATGAAACAATAATGCGACGTACGTTTTCGTAACCAAAGCAATCTTTGATTGGTTTTTTTTTTGAAGACCCGATTGCTTGAAGTAAATTAATAAATATTAAATCCGATTATAAACTGCTATATAAAGTGACATCATTTCAAATTCGTTTAAATTCTCAGGGATTTTCTGGAATAACAACCCTAGTTTACTATCATCCGATTGCAGATTACTTCTAATCTGGGATGAGTTGTTCGACATTTCCGAACGCAAATCATTTATATAAGGTATTTCAAACATAAACTAACTTTTATAGTTTGAATTGTTTCAAAAAAGTGACGAAAACATTAATAAATTAACCTAAAATACCAATCAGCTGATAAATAACGATAAAAACAAAATCAAAACACCGGGATTTACTTAAATCCAGGTACAAGAGCTTCATATCGATGACGTCATCAGAACTACCGGTAAAAAATGTGTTACTGGCACCGGGATTCTAGACACAGCGTTTTTTTTTCTACTCTTACCAACGTAGTAACTCTCTGCGGGCGCCACTGAAATAATTACGGTAAATCTAATCGAGTCAAAAGATACCTTTTGTTATTACAAACAAATCTGCCAAGTTTGAAGAAATTCGGAAAACGGATTTTGAAAAACCGATTTTTACAAGCTTTGATACCCTGTATCTCGAAAACTAAGCATTCTCGGACCCATGTTTCTATTAACTTTTCTTTTATTGTAATGAAAACTATTTATCCTAGAAGTTTGATCCCACTATTTATTAACACCCTATATAGGTAGTTTGGTGAAATAGCAATACTACAGCTTACCAGCTCCTCAAATAATACAGTATTTTTTATTTCTGGCAAATCATGTCTTGATTGTATTGGAACATTAATTCTGAACTACAAATACTTTATTGCCGGTTTATTCATCTTCTGATAAACTGTCAGATATGCAATCTGGCGGATAACAACCCAATCTGCTGCAATCCCGTTGGTCGGCCAGTTATCCGCCGACCAATAGAATTATTGTATAGGAACGGTAAATTTATCTTGCAGACAGTTACCAGGAAATTTATCTAAAAATTTATAAGCCGGGCCTAAATGCGAACAAATTAAAATTAAATATATCAATATCAAAAATCAAATGTATGTTTATAGGAAATTATAAACATTAAACAAATTTGAACATTTTTATGAAAGACTAATTGGAATTTATTAGGTAGGTACGTAATTAGAGTATTCAGGTATCCCATTTGATTCAAAGTTAAAAAGCTTTTGCAAAATAGAGCGATGTGTACTTATTATGTTAAATAAAGATAAATAATATACAAAAATTACTTTGGTCAATAAATTGCAGTGGCTTAATGTGAAAAATTCAACATTACTTACATATATCTCGCTTGCATGTTTATTTACAAAATTATTCATAATATTTATTCATAATTTAAGTCATTTATGTAATTATATGACTAAACATTAAGATATTCATGACTATTTCACCTGTGATAATACAAATTTTTGTTTAAATAAATTGTTCTAAGGGTTCTATACACATACATTTATTTGTGTATGTATACAGGGTGATTTACGTAGCCCGCGTGCATAACAGGTGGATTAGATTCTATCTCTACTAATCCACCTGCAATCTGGAAAACTTCTAATGCATGGGGGGCTCTTGTGTGTTGACCAAAAAAAAAAAAAAAGCTGCGCACAATGCGCATGTTGCCACATTAGAAATGACGAAATATTTTAGGCTCATGTTACTATAGCCAGAGTTCACCGATTATACCTATATACAATCCGGCAATTCAAAATATCTACCCACAGAGAAATTGCAGATTAAAAAATAATACCTAGTGCTCTATTGATTAAATTACGCATTCGCTTTTGATGTGAAATACTATAATGTGAATAATTTATTTTTCTAGAAATCACCATCAGTTATGTCAAGTAAACGGCTCATCGTTCTAACATCGCTATTGGTCGTTTGTCTGTGCAGTACCCAAAAGAAAAGCTGCATGAGGCCTGACGTGTTCCGAAACGTCGGCGAAGTGGCCGACTACGTCAAATGCATCAAAACGATTACTGGATCACCACCGTAAGTTTTTTCTTTCAACAAAAAAAAATTATCCAAATGCATTTATATTTTCATTGATAGCGTTATAAAATATAAAACAAATTGCATTTTTGGACAATATTAAATACATTTGCATGGGATAAATGATGACATTTAGTGTTAGTAGGCGTAGGTTTCATATCAATCATTAGCATTTTTGTATTTAACGGAATTTGAAGCCGTAAAGTTTAAAAATAGTTTCATTCCATACAGTTGTGATTGCAATTTTTATATCTATTAGCAAAGTAATTAATACAATCGTGTAATTTATGATGAACCATTCTTCTATGACGTCACTTTTACACTTTTTGTTTTTAATTTCAGTTATGGAAAACGTTCCGTTCCAAATTCGAGCCCTTTCTTAGAAAAACTGCACCCAATGCTCCGACAGTACGATCCCGAATACCTCGAAGAACTGATTTATCATATTTTGAAAGCCGAAAGGGAAATGATGCGTCGGGAATAAATTAAAAATTTTTCAATTTCTCAAATATGTAATAAATCTAAAATACTTTTGCCAAAACGTCTAGAAGAGTTTTTATAAAAATTGATATAGGTTTTAAAAGCGTTAGTGGCTGGACGTTTCTTAAAATGATTTGTAAAACTTTTTTAGACGCAAAAAAATCTAATCTAATTATTGTGAAAGGCTAATTATTATTGTTAATTTTTCAATTTAATTTATTTATGAAATACGATGTTTATGTAAATTCAATAATTATTTGCATGAAAATCCCTGAAATGATTTTGGGAAAATGTTAAACCTACACAGTATTTTGTATTTTAATTATTACTATTTTATAAAATTATTAAAATCTATTAGTCATTTATTACTTTGATAAGTCCTTTATTGTAACAATTTTTTTTAAATGTATTTTCATCATTGTTATATTACATTATTAATAAACTGAACTGTATTGCAAAATTTAAATCCTCGCATGAAAACTATGTCTGTACCTAAATTGAGTGTATGGATAAAATCCCATTAAAATTTGCTTCAAACTAATCTCAAGCCTTTTCTATTTTTGTGTCATTTTTCAATAGATAATGGGACAACCCTATTTCTTGGTTCTATTGGTGAATTTATCTTCCATAGTGAATTTTGAAATCATCCTACTAACACAAAATATCTGATATTTTTCTAAGTTTGCTTTTTTAACGCCAGGAACTTCTGACGACTATTAAAAAGTCCAAAAAATCATAAAAAATGTCCATAGTTCAAATAAAACTGTATCATCAGGACCAATTTATTATGAAACATGTTTAATTCCACTCGTTTTTAATACTACTGGTGATTGGTTAAAACGATTAGAAAATGTTTAAATTAGCAAAATTATAAAAATAAATAAATAATTACTTATTCAAAGGAAATTTCTTCAATATTACGTAATCAAGCTTCGTTTCCAGTGGCGGCACGTGACTTTTATTTTGAGGGAGGCAGCCCAAAAAAAAAATGAGCGTCATAGGTAATTTTTTTGGGGGGGTTAAAATTATATAAAAATACATTTTGTAGCATTTTTTAAAGGTTTAGTCAGAATATCAGCCTGTTGCTGATTTCTATAGGTACTCACATACTCCAAAACAATTTTTCCTACAACTGCCTCTGAAAATGGAGTTTTTCGCACGCTAGGCAACCTCTGAAAATAGAGTTTTTCGCACAGTGTCCATAAAAGTTTTTCACACGCTGCTCATTAGTTTTCTATTTATTTTGGTCCTATTATCCTGACATGACATGACATAAATTGCGATTTTCACCAATGGCAGCAAATATCCAGTTAAGTTCCTCAACATTTTTTAGAGGGCGCGAGTGAACTTGGAGTGTTTTAAATTTTGGCGGTAAATGTCAATAGTTTATAACTGATTAAATTGAGTAGAAAGAAAGATGACTACCTATGAACAATGGACAATGGATAAGTTAAAATATCTTCTAAAGCGTTCAGTGGCCCTTAGAGAATATTTTTAAAAGTGTCAGCGTCAGCTTGTCTTGAAACCACACATCAAACTTCAGTTTTGAGGTTAGAATTACAATCGAATTTTTACGCGCCAAAATTTAAAGAGATCCAAGTACAGAAGCGCCCTCTTCAACTCAACTGTCAATATTACATGCCATTTTAAAGTATTAAAGTCAATGAACTATAACCAAAAACTGGAATGAGCACATATATTGACGAACGTGAAGCCTAGTGCCGCTGCTGCGGAGGGATACCTGTTTTTGTCGTACTCATTATGTTAAATGGCGGAAATTGCTTCCAACACGTATTCCAATTGATGAAACCTGTGAAGGTAAATATGACAAAACTTTCGAAAACGTCATATGTCAGCGAGCAACAGAAAAAAACAACATTCCCCCTTGTTGCAATAAATAGAACAATAACATTATTTTGCTTATCAGCCTATGTCTGTAGATGGCTTGTTATATTGTTGTGAGGCTGTTGTTATGAACCGGCAACACCGCACTGTATTACAGATTTCTTTAAATATTTAAAAGATTGTCAAAATGTCAATTAGTTGTCATGTCGTTTTGTCAAGTAAGGTTGGCGCCAAGATACTCATCCTGTTGTAACCTACAATTTTGTACTCATGTTTTTAATAATTAATAAACGATAATTAATACAAGAAATAACAGCGAGTTGAGTCGAATTATTACAGTAAAAATCCACCCCGTAGTGCTCTGCTAACACCCCTTGTGGCATTTGTCTTTCATGGCTTCATTTTTTTGGCAGATATGGCAATGTGTACCTACGCATTCCAGTTTTTGCGGCTATAGTTCATTGATTAAAGTTTAGTTCGTTCTATAACCTTTTGAATACAACTCGATGTTTCAGGATAACGCGTTTCGTGACAGGTAAAAGTATTATCCGGTAATCCTGAAACCTCTTGCGGTATTACATTCGAGAATTTCATACATCTGTCAAAACTGACATTTCAACAATAAACTGGTATGTTTTGATTGTTGATTTGAACCAATCAGATTGGAATTACGCGATAATTTGCACTAGTGCAAATTATCGGATAATTGCATAGTAACTGGTGCGAGAACTGCTATTTGACATTTTTTGACAAACAAATTAAATTTTTGATTCATGAAATTCTCTCATTAAATACAACTCGTGCAATGGAAATATAGGTATCTATAATTTTTAACAAATATGCACTCGTGCGTTTTTAACTGAAAAAGGCACTCGTGCACTACGTCTACATCATTGCATGGTATGAATAGGAATTATCCGAGGAAATATCCCTACGTAGATTTTCTTGAATGTCTCGACAATTACTAATCCGATTTTGACGTTTTTGGGGTTTGATACCTACAAAAATCAAACCCTGCGTTTTTATCCATATCAAATTTTACCGATGGATCTATCTCCATCATTCTATGTCAGTCATTGTCATTTTCCATTCACTTAAGAAAGATAGCTAACTCATCGGTGAAGTAACCGATTCGAATAAAAACGAGGGGATTGCTAAACACCCAATACACATTGACATTGACAAGTAAGCAAATGTTGGCGGAAAAATGAATGTTTTTATACTTATCGTCCATCTGTTTTAATTGAAAAAGTCAATTTGGATTTGTTAAATAGTATATTGTAGACCTAGGCAGTAAAGTGACATTTTTCCAGGCTGAAAGAAGCGGGCAAGCTTCAGCGAGCCCGGACAAAAAGCAAAAAAAAAAAAACAAAAATAGATTACTTATACTTACTATATTTTTGTGAAATATCTGATAAATACGCCAAAATCATGTTCTCACTGTACGTTTCAACGTTTTTAAGACTACACCAATCCATAAATAACTTATACTGAAGGTGGTATTTGCCTCTTGATTTTACTGGCAGTAAATTCATCGAAACTTTGATTGCTTTGTCGTGAATTTCAGGTGGGGTACGATTCTATTTCCTCTTCATTAGGCCGCAGGGCCGTAGCTAGAGTCAAATTTATGATAGGGCATGACAAATTTGACATAGGGCATACACTACTTGCCCCCCCCCCCCCCCCAATTTTTTATAGGTAAACAAAATGGGGCTAATGGCGCCGAAGGCAAATTTTTCAATAAATCATGGTTCAGGTTGTTTGGTAATGGATAACTTGATGACGCATCTGATTTGGGAAACTTTAAAGAGATTTGCATTATGTGGAGGCACCCCAGATGACGTCATAAAGTTACCAGGCAACCTACCTCTCTCGCCTCTATGAAACAATTTTGCAATAAATAACATCTCTGGCAAGTAAACAAAATGGCGCTGATTCGCACTCTTTCAAAACAAAAAAACTTCCTCTGTGCAAACGTCAAACATTGTTCAATTACATTTAAGGCGACTAAGGCGTTTTCGGAAACATTCATCCTCGTTTACTCGATTTCAGGCTTATCTATTTCAGACATTTTCTAAATAAACCTTAATGCATGTTAATTTTTAAAGGTAGGGTTCACACAAATAACTTCAGCGCCTAATCTCCGCCCACCCACCATGTTTTGTCGAACTTATTCAATAATGTATTTGTTCTTTCTTTTCTTTCTGTTCTAATTTTTTCTCACAAAATAGTCAATAACAGGCACAAATAACAAAAATAAAAATATATTAACACAAAATTGCATGAATCTCCATAGAATCAAACGGTAAACACAAATAACTTTCGACAAAACATAGCCGATATTCTGCAGCCAATCAAAAATGACTCCCTCTATTGTCGCCACTGTCTTGTATAGAGGCACTGTAGCCATTCTGTCAACTTTTTACCAGAAATCTATATTGGATGGTAATCTTATATTACAAAAATTAAATCATAAATAACCTCTTATACTAGAATTTCATAAAGTAGATATAGTATAAAACTATCACAGCTTTTTTGAATTGAAATTAATCAAAATTGCGAAAATACGAACAATTTTTTTCAAATTTATTATTGAAGCGCCATCTATTAGAAAAAGTAAAAAATAATTTTCTCGCATAGCCATTTTGGAGTGTTTTGCCGGGCTAGCCTTAGACATCTACTTTCTCGTCCCTAGAGAGGCAGTAAAATTCAATTTTCTCATAGTGTTCGAAGAAAAATAAGTTCTGTCATCGTTCTAAACAGTTGCAAGTCTTTTCAACAAACGTATTGCTTTGCAATTATGTTTTGAGCGTTACAGTAGGTACTTTATTTTTAATAAATCTAAATAAAATAACAGTTGATAATTTAATTACTTAAAAAAGCCGCTTTTCCACTGTCGGTAAACAAGAAACCGGCATTCAAACAATTTTCACTCTTTTAGTTGCTGTCCGTAGCTCACTGTATCCGTTGCCACCAGGGGCGACATTGTGCGACTTAAGTATAGGGGTATGACTTCTCTCGTACTTTACTACTATTATATTTCTCTATGAACTGCCCTTCACTCAAAAAATTTCTTGAAGACTTGTTAAATATATAGTATGTACTCACAAATGAAAAATGAGAGAAATTACCACAGATTGGCAACCCAGGATTCGGTAA